TATGTCAGGCAAGCCAGTGAAGCAGTCTAATCCAGCAGAGTGTTTTTCTTGTTTTACTGTAGGTAAGCTGAAAGGTTTATAACCCACTGTACAATTGCTGAACACCAACTGTTTGTTGGGGCTGTTTTACAGGCTCCATTTCCATTCCCCTTTTAGGAACTACATATAGGAAGAGATTTTCTTTCATATAAAGAATTTTGTTCTTTTCATTCTCCCCATCTGTTGGAACCCAGGACATTCCTCTGACTGCCCTGGAGGACTCAAGACCCTGGCAGGGGGCTCAGAGACCTTGGCACGGAGTCAAAGATACCTGTGCCTTGGATTTTAACCCATGGAAATGATCACCAACTTTGTGTGAAGAGTTAGAAACCACAAGAGTTTGAATAAAATGACAATGAATTTATCACAGGGTGAAAAAGTAGAATTTGGGGTTTTTAGAATGGGGGTTCAGGAGGCAAGATGGAGGAATCTGGGTTTGTACTTCTTTCTCCTTCTTCTTCTTGTCCTCCATCTTCTGCTGTGATGGTGGGACTTTTGGATTGGTTTAGACTAGAAGCTCACTGTCTAACATAGGTGATAGGTACTGGAAAATTATTGTAAATAAAGTACACGTAGTTTTTAGTATAAAAAGATAACACTGCCCTGAGGGCAGTCAGTGTGCCTCAACCCAACCTGCTGGACAGACCTCAGTGGGTCAGAAAGACAATGTATTAGATAACAGCAAATAAACAACCTTGAGAACGAGAGCCCAGGAATCTTGTCTTCTTCTTTGGTCTCAGGGCTGGGATAAAGAGACTTTCTAACACCTCGGGGTCATCTCAACACCAGAGACCCTTTCACCCGTCTCCAATTCAAACGTCATTCTCCATTTTTGCATTTCATTTCAGTGTTCATTTCCCTCACTCCTGGAGAACATAATTAGATTGCACTAATTACCCAAGTCCAGCTAGGTCAGGGTGTTTTGTTACTGGCCTCTGGGCTGGGCTGAGGAATGAGTTTTCTGATGGGCCACCTGCAATGGTGATTGTTGGGACTGATTGCCAAGTTTGCCTTGGAAACCTGCCCTGAAGTTCCACTGACAGAGAAAACACATTATTCTCTTTCACCACTTTTTTGCCCTGAAGCTAACAGAGGTACACCAACATTTCCCAGCAGCGAATCCCACCTGTCTCTGAAAACAGGAAAGGGAGCAATCAAAGCATTGGGGATCAACTTTCCCAGGATTTAGCATCCATTGCTAGTATTTCACTAGGTAACCTCTGTGCACTTCAGCATCCTTTCCTGTCATAGATAACTTTTATAAAAAATCCTTTCCTTAGGATTTTTTCCTCCTGAGAAGCTGAGAAGCCTCAGGAACAAAATGTAAACATTGATTATCTGCTGCTGTGGAATGCAACAGGTGGATCTGTGATTGGCCCATGTTGGTTGTTTGTAATTAATGGCCAATCACAGTCAGCTGGCTCGGACAAAGAGTCCGAGACACAAACCTTTGTTATTCATTCCTTTCTATTCTTAGCTTAGCTGGCCTTCTGAGATGAAACCTTTTCTTCTATTCTTTTAGTATAGTTTTAATGTAATATATATAATAATAAATCAAGCCTTCTGAAACATGGAGTCAAATCCTCATCTTTTCCCTCAACCTGAGACCCCTGTGAACACTGTCACACTTTCCCACAGTTAAAATTTCCCAGGATTTAGTATCCATTGCTAGTATTTCACTAGGTAACCTGTGTGCACTTCAGCATCCTTTCCCACAGTTCCAGCTTCCCAGGAGGAAGGTGTTGCTTTGCTGAGCAGACACAAGGCAGCCAGCACTGCTGGCAGAGCAGGAGCACATGGAAGTGCCTCCTCACCTTGGTGGAGTTGGTGGAATGGCAAACTGCTCGCATTCAAGCAGCAGCGTGCAGACTGACAAGATCACTTTTTGTTTACTAAACAATTAAACTCATTCACCAGAGATCAAGCAGAGCTGCACTGTTGTTTGGCTCAAAGCTGGAATAGTGGATGAGCCATCACCCACTGAGGCAGTGCAGCTCTCCCTTTCCCATCTCCCAGGAGCTCCCAGGCAGCAAGCCGTGTCCTTATCGACTCCAGCTCCTTATTAATTCCCTATTGATCTGCTCACTGAGCACTAGGCAGAAATAATATTTTTATCTTCTGTGCTCCTGGCTGTGCTGCCATTGGATTTGAAGCCTCCCGAGTAGCATGGGTTTTCTGTAACCTGGGGAGGATGGATCCACCCACACTCACTGGGAGAGCAGGCACTCAGTGAGGGGTACCTGTGGGAAATCATGAAAGCTTGTTGTGAGAACACATACCTCAGCTGCTGGTCTGCCTACTCCCTGACATGGAAATTTACAGAGTGGTAATTCATCTTTCCAGGTCAAGCCAGTGGCCAAAAATACCCTGAACTACCAAATTCTGCTCAGGATATTACAGCTACTGCTTCCTTCTCTCTAATTATGGAGATTGGTCCACAATCAGAGCAGTGTGTGAGGAGCTGGTGCCAGTGAGGATGGGGAAACAGCTCTATAGATACAGCAGCTGTTTTCTGGGATACCTGGGCATGCTCTGGCACTGTATCCACCTGAGGCTGCCTGTCCCACACCCAGCAGCTTCTCCACTCCTCCAACACAGCCAACAAATGCAGGCAACACAGCTAAGAGAGGCTGCAGGGCTCACACACAAACCCTGGCACTGCAGGAAGGGTCTGACTGTCTGAGGGGGAAACACAGACATCACAGAATCTCATTCTCAACAGAAGAACACAGTGCGCTCCTTACTTACACCGTTCTATTGTTCATTACACAGGCCCCAGATAATTTCCCTGTGCCAGAGGGGGAAGAAGGAGTAAATATAAGGAAAATGTAAGTGCAGAGATGCACTGTGACAAGAACAAGTAGTGCAGCTTCCCAGTGATGGAGATTTCCAACTCCTGGCCTGCACTTTTGGGTCAAAAAGGGAACGTGCAAGGCGAGTTTCACTTTTCCAAACTGCCAGCTAATGCTGAAATTACTGAAGCAAGTCTAGTGCTAGCACCAGTGAGACACCAAGCACCTAGAGAAGAGCAGGGCTGGCTCTGTGGGGCTCCCAGCCCCAACAAGGCTTCAGATGCTCTATAAACACCACCAGCATGAACAGAGCTCTGTAATACAGTGGAGAAAACGTTTGCAATCAGCTCTCAAAACAGACTCTTTCATAATTGAAATACTGCAGAGCAGAAAACAGCATTATAATTACAATAAATGGGTGCTGCTGAGTTAGAGAAGATCTTTTGTCTGCAAATCCCATTTACACAAGCAGAGGGAATGGTGGTAGGAGCAGTTACATTACCCTGTGCACCCCACTGCAGGGCTTGGATCATTTTTGTCAGTCCCTCTTCTTTTTTTTTAACTTGCTATGGGCTTTACTGGTAACTTAGAAGAAGTTCAGAGACTAGATACAGGAACAACTGAAGGACTGCAAAACTTTGTGATGCTGAAAAAACCAGCACCTATCAAGCAGCAGGTCAAGGGAGGAGTGGATCACTCTACAGAAAACTGAATTTTGGTAATGGGATCTTCAGTGTGGCATTGAAAGGTATAAACTAATTCAATGACTGGAAGCTGATGTCAAACAAATCAGTCTAAAAATAAGGGAGGACATTTTCAACAGCCAATGTAATTAACCTTCAGTACCATTTACTGATGCTTGTGCTGGATTTTCCATTGCTGGAAACTTTAAAAAAATAGAAGGCTTTTCTAAATGACTTCCTAAATGCCCAGCATGGCAAAACAGAACAGGATGTTGCTCAAAAAAGCTGAAAATCACCTTCACCCAGGTTCACTCCCTCCTCAGTGACAATGAACTCCTGTCCTCGCAGGTCAGCCTGGGTGGGCTAGGAGCCCTTGGAGAGCTTTTATCATAACCCTGCCAGCTGGCCAAAAGACAAAGCATACATGTAATTTCTGGAGTTTTCTGTCACATTACATGTCAGGAAAGAACATTTCTTCCACCTCCTGGCATGCCCTATGGAACTGGGCTCTGCCCTTGCTGTCCATCAGAGCCACTCTTCACCTTGCCTGTCCTTTGTAAACATGCTTCTATTCCTGAAAACACTATCTGTGCCCTCCATGCTTGTCTTCCCTTGCCACCATGCCATCCCCCCAGCCCTTTTCCTTGCATTCATCCCCCAGAGGGGCTTGTCCTTTCTCCCAGGTCCCAAGAAGCAGAGGGGAGAGGTTTGGGGATCTAGGGTGAGCTGCCTGGTGCACTGAGCACTGCCTGGGGAGCAGCTGAGCTGCAGGAACAGCAGGGAGGAGCAGCAAGGCAAGGGAAGCTGCTCACAGGGAGTGACCCCATCTATGTGTGAAGGGAGGGTCCCCCACAGGTACCACAGGACGTGTCCCAAATTACAGCCCAGCCCTGGGCCCTGATTTACCATTCATCTACAAGCAAAGCAATTCATCCTGCTGCCTCAGCTTCCCCCTGCACAGAACCTCAGCAGTGATATCTGCGCTGCTACTGCACAGGAGCATTTTCAGGATCAATTAGTTTAGCATTCATGCAAAGCTCTGTGGACAGAAGCCTCAACACAAGCAGTAAGTACCATTATTGTTACTGCACTTCAGATGGCTACTGCACTGACATTTTCCAGGCATGCACCATTAACAATTTACAAAGATAAATGTGCCAGGAACCTGAAAATGCATTTAGGACAACTACCTCCTGCTTACCAGCACACATTCAGCTGTGTAAATGACACCTCATCCCTCAATGTGTAGCTATGGTAACATTTCTATCTCATGTACTGAAGTGCACACACACACACACGTGGAGCTGGAGGGAAGCCAGGCTACCTCATTTTATGACACACAAACACCCAGCCAAGGAACTTTCCCAGGCTCCCAAAGCCAAGCTGCTCCCATGGAGCCAGGGATGAGGAGCAGCCAGCTCACCCCATGCCTGTCAGGAAGGAGAAGGGTTAACAGCAGGAGCTCCCCAGGCCCTGAGGGACTTACTTGAGAGCAGTTTTGTAGTGGTAGATTGCTTCAACATTTCGGCCTTGGTCTTTCAGGAAATTGGCATAGTTGTAGTGCACCTTGGCGTTGTGGGGCAGGGTCTTCACTCCTGAGCTGTGAGGAGGAACAGAAGCAGGACACATGAGCAGCCAGGTTACCCCACCTCCCCTGGGCCCACCCTCTTCTGGCAGTCCCTCCCTTCTCCTGAAAAGCTTGCTGCTGATCCCAGCACCTCAACACCTCCGGTGCACTGGTGCCAGCACAGCTCATGTTTGAACTCCCAGCTTGTCCCCCGTGCCAAGTGCCCGGGGCAGACACAAATGTGTGGCAGCAATTCAACTCATCCTGGTGGCTGTCACTGCAGGCACTTCCAGCAGCAGCACTGCAACGCTCCCCGTGGCCAGAGGCTGCTGTGTTCTAAAATCTGAATTACTAAACTCAAAGACCAAACCCTAAATGGTTAATATTTAGAGGGAAAGCATGCAGTACTTTCTAAATACAGGGTCCCTGCTTAAACCTGAGTGTCATGAAGCATCTTGATTTAAAGCTGGCACTGCAGATAGCAGAAAGAGGGAATCTTTTCCTGTGCATCAGCCACTAGATGGAACGCATGGCATACTCCCAGTACCAGCACATGTGCACTGCTTAAGGCTGAGCAGACTGTGCCCAGGAGGTGAGGGCTAATGGGGACTCCAACCCTTAGGTGGCAAAACAACACTATGGCATTATGATGCATGACTGAGGAATATCTGGCTGCACAGCTACCCCATCCCTCCCCTCTGTCTCCCCTGCCACGTGTAGGCTGAACTCAACATTTGGAATTTATAATGAGGGCACAAAGACAAAAGCAAGCATATGCTTATTCGCTTAATTGAGAGCACAGAAAGCAAGGTACACCTTGCACAGCCAGAGGAAATGCTGTTCCAAGGTTAAACAGAGAAAGAAATCACAGGAGCACGTACACTGTGGAAACATTTCCCCTGCAAGAATCCAGAGAAGTCAGTGCTCTGTTTAATGGGGGAATCCTTTCCAGCACATAAACAGGGGCTCTCTGAGGAAATGGAAAATAAGGATGGATGAATCTGTTCATGTAAAAGCAGACAAAGTGCTGTTTCTTGCTCACAAGCAGGTTCCTGCCAGCTGCTCTCTTCTACTCCCAGCATCTCCAACCCTGCTACCTCAGGTAGGAAAAGCAAGGACTAGAAAATTGCCAAGTCTTGTTGCTTTGCCTTGTCTGCCTCTCCCATTGAACTTTGGTTAGCATGGAAGTTCACTGTAATGAGACAGGGTCACAGGCAGCCCCTGCTGTGGGGTGCACACCCTCTTCACGGGAAAAATGCACCCACAGCTGCAGAAACCCTTTGAGGGGGATTTCACTGCAGAACAGCACTGTGGAATTGTAAATATGGTATTCTTTTGGTTATCTGCAGCCAGTGGCATCCAGTATTACTAACACCTACTTGTGAGAGCTTCCAAAGCTTCGCCCACAACTGCCTTGCAGAGTTCAGCTCAACACAGCCACGGTTTGCCTTCTAAAATTAAAAGTGCACCTTGCATTTGGCTTCCTAATCATCAGGTATTTCCAAATTACTTACTGGGAGCACTACAGGAATAAGACATTTTGTGACTAATCGCTGAATTAAATCAGTTAATTGATGCTATTCTTAAGAGAATGATTTTCTATATTAGTTTTCACAAAGATATACTGCACCAGCAGCAAGTAATGTGTGACTGCTATGGCTGTGTTAATTTCCATTGGCCTTGGGAGCTATTAACTACACACTTACAACCTCTGGGCATTACTGGAATATTAATTCTTATACAGAGAGGGTTTCATTACATCAGCATCAGCGTTACAGGCACAGACACGGCACTCAAAACTGCTGCTCTGTCAGAGCTACGTGCAAGGAGCTGCTCTGCTCCAGCCTCTGCTGAAACAGAACAGGCTGAGCTAATGCACCAGCACTTCAGTTCTAATGAGATACAGTAAAAACAGCAAGATACATACGTTTAAGTATTTTAATGCTGGGCTGTTTTCCTTTAAGTAGAATTTATCACTAATTCTGCTGGTCCCATTTATTAGAACATCACTAATAAAGCTGCTTGCATCTGTGTGCTTCTGCTGGTGGCAGGGGTGACAGAGGAAAGGCAGAAACGGGTTTGGGTTCTTAAGATGCTCTTTTCTGCATCACACTGACCTATTTATTCTCCTCACATGGGCAAGGAGGGGGAATGTTTCATTTTGCAAATGCATGTAGCAATGAATGAAACTGCTTGGAGCCTCTGTGCTGGAGGAGGCAGCAAACACAGCTCTGGATGCAGAGGGGAATTTTCAGGAGAGTTGAGGAGTTAACATTCCTGCCAACTGGTTCCTGACCAGTCGAGAATGCTGTTTGCTCATTGACAGAGGAAACAATGATGTCCACAGTGAAAGCCAAGAAGGAAAGGGTGGAGTATAAATAACAAAGCAGAACAAAATGTTTTTCCATTTCTGCTTCCCACAAGCTCCCAGTCTCTCACAATTTCAATATAATTTTCCAATGTGCTTTTCCAAACTCTCCTGTTTCCCTGTTCCCCAGCCTGTCATACACATGCCCTCCTGAAAACCTACAGCACCAATCTGGCTCCAGCCAGAAACGAGCCCACTGACACTGGACGTCACTTCTCCAGAGGATTTCCTTCTCTTCTGATTTCTACGACAGCAGTAAGCAACAGAAATGGAACATAAACAATAGGCAAACCTTTTTACGTAACACTTCCTCTCCAGGGAAAAACAAAAACCCTATTAACCATAAATCAGGGAAATTAAATGCCACTGGTATTTTCCAACCTCAAATACCGGCATCATCCAAGTTCCACTTCAGCTGTGATCGCCTCTCTTGTTTTCCTGAGTGTGTGTTCTGCTCTACAAGGTGACTGGGTGCAGGGCTGAGGCTTCATTGATTTTCTGTGACATCCATATGAAAAGTGCTCACTTTAGAAGAACATGAGACCACTCCTGCCTCAGCAGGAACCCTGGGAAACCTCTGGTGTCTCCTCTGCTTTGGGAATCATTACCATCCACAAAGATTCTCTACAACAAATCATTCTCTGGATTAAACAAACAACCACCTTCCTTGGCCTCCTACCCTTGTACTGATTCCACAGATATCTGTGTTGGGCCATATTAAACTGTCCTGTAGAAGATGTCTAAAATGCAACAGGAATCGCTCTTTTCAGCCCAGCCAGCTTTCAGAATTAATAATACAGCAGTAAATGCCACTTTGGGGCTGAGCAGTTTTTGCAGATTCCTGAAGTCAGCAGACCTGGCTTGGGAGGGGGAGCTGCTGACTGAGAAAGCATCATTTTTGTACAGTTCCTTTGCTGGTTACAGCTGGGTTTCCAGGCACTGTCACAGACGCGGGCAGCCCGTGCGGACGCTTTCCAGGAGCAACAGGAAACGCGGCAGCTCGACAAGCCTGGAAAGGTCAGCACAGAGGATGCAGATACAGCCCACAGCTCTGCCCTCCCTCTCCCTGGCTTTGGACATTAACACTGACCACAGCTTGAGTGTGACCTTCTGGCCTGTGCACTCACTCTAGAGGGCAGTTCCTTAAATAATTAACAAGTGAGTTGTCCCTGATCACTTGCCTACACAGTGAGACAAACTGCTTGGGGATTCTAGAGATGTCTTGGAATAACATGCCTCAAATATCTCTCTATGTATTTGGCCACTTCTGATACTTGTCGTTTATTTTCATTTAGCCCTTGCACACGTGCTTGTGCATGTATGTGGAGATGCATCGTTTCCTCAGACAGCAGCAGCCTCCCCCACACTGCTGCTTTCAGCCAGCATCCAGCACGATTTCTCCTCCCACAAAACTCGGTCCCTGGGCTGAAGATTGAGTGGCCACAGTGGCCTAGAGATGGCAACAGTGTCACACAATGTCAAAATGCTGTCAGTTTTAAGAAAGGGATGGAATGGGGTACAAGCACAAAGCTAGGAACACACAGAGTATACAAACATCTCCTGGTCCAGCATAGAAAAAGCATATTTAACAGAACAGGCCTGTAAAAACCAAGGGAATCAAGACAGATCAATCCTGCAGAAACAAGCAAACAGAGGCACAAAAATTGGAGGTGAAAGGAAAAAAAAAAACTGAGAGGAGAGGAGAGAAGAAGTAGTAATTAATTAAAGCAGCAACTGCAGAAAGAAGAATGAGGAACTAGGATTGTAAGTAAAGATTCTCCCAGCACACACTTCTTAAAAAAAAATTCAACACACACAGAGAATACCAAGTAGGTTGATTATGTCTCCTTTCCCACATGTATAGATTTGCTCTGTATCCTCCTCCTGCTCTGTCCATTAAAATTTATTGTTGTTTTGCATACCTCCATCTACTTTTCTCTCCTCTCCTCATCAGCCTCCTCCTTCTCCCCACAGGGGAGATCTCTCACTCCTGGAATGACATTATCTTCTTGCTATACTATTCTTCTCTTGCATTTCCTTCCCATCAACAAGGAGGGTCCTACCAGATTACAGACTTGTGAGAGATGTGTAACACCTATCAAAGAAGATCTTAAAAGGACAACAAAAAGGCCAATAAGGGTAAACAGCACAGTGAAGACAGCTATGAGCAATGAAAACCATTCTTTAAAAAGGAACAGCTACAGAAGGAAAGAGGAAAAGAGAATAAACGTCAGCCAGTTAAACATAAACCATAATTAGGCAGACCAAAAGAGATTTAAAGAAAAACTTGCTAAAGCTATCAAAGCTAATAATGGAATACATCAGATAGAGGAAACCTGCCAAAGATCCCCTAAGGCAAGTAGATGATGGAGGTCTAAAAGTAGTGCTTAAAGAAGAAAAGACCACAGCAGATGAGCTAAGTGGATTCTCTGCACCAGTGCTGCTACAGGGAAATCTAAGGAGCTGCCACACAGGAGCCCTTCCTCACAGGGCAACACCCAAGCACTGTCTCTGACTGGAGTGGCAGTAAAAGAGGCTTTAAAGTAAATCAACACCCAGAACAGTTATGAACCCATTGGGCCTGGCAGAATGCATCCAGAGGAAATCACACAGGCAGCTATTAGCTGCGGTAGGTAGCCTATAATTTAAATGAGACTGGCACTGGGGGAATGGAAGTTGATGAACATGACTTCATTTGGCTCCAGGGAAGGGATCCTGAGGGGGAGGCAGACCAGAAAGTGTGATTTTCACTTCAGGTAATTTGGGGAAAACCATAATAAATTGTAATTCTAGCACATTTCTGGATAACTACAGTCCAACAAATAATTAGCCTTGCAACTGGAGGAAGAAGTTATTTGGGAAGCTCTGTTGGTGTTTTATAGACTCAACAGGTACATACATGTTATTGAAACTATGGAAAGCCTTTATATATTTATATATATTCCAAATATAGCCCAGTCAATCAAAATCACATACACCAATGTCGAGCACTTAAATGCCCCAAAGGGAGTTTTTAATATAAAATCCCTCACTGAAGAATTCCAATTTCTTCAAGGCATCATGGAGTAAGAGGGGAAGATCTTCTTATGAATTAATACTAAGCTGAAAGACAGCAAGCAAAGAGCATGACTGTGTGAACAGTTTTTACAGCTAGAAAAGAGTACAAGCAGGGTTTCCAAGAGACATGCGATGGCACCTGAGCTACTTCAGGGGCTCACAAAGGAGCTTGAAAAGAGGGGACACGTTTGCTGATGACACCAATGTGAATCACACTGCAAGAATTAACTACACCTTGTTGCAGAAGGAACTCACTGTATTGAAGACTAGGGAAAAAGATGGCACAAGAAATGCAGCGTTGGTACAGACACAAGCATCAGAGAGTGTGTACACACACACTCTAAATCTGCACACAGATTGATGGCTAAAAACCTGGTGTTTCCAGTCACAGCAGGTATCATGGAATTTGCATTGAGAGTGCTGTGAAATTATCAATCACTGCTTAGGAGAGGTCATAAAAGGCAAGCAGAAAATTATGAACTAGTAGAAGAAGAGCACAAAACCCAGAAAGCAGCCCTATGTGCAAAGGTGGTTCTGGCCCCTTTCTCAAAAGGATGGATTAGAGTATGAAAGTATCCAGAGAAGACTGACAGGAGCAATCAGAAATGCAGAACAGCTTCCATGTGAGGGGAGTACAAGACCAGCTGACTTTGGCATGAAAAGCAGACAGCCTCAGGTGAGGGCATGTGGCTTCAAGGCATGGAAGTGCCTTTATCTAAGTGACAAGCTGATGGCTACTCACAACTCATTCAGCACACCAGAACTAGGGGACACCAACTAGATAATCAGGCAGAAGGCTCACAGCACACAGGGAAATCTTAGTGTGCACACTCTGTAATTTAACGACAGAGCCCAGCGCACAGGATGCTGCAGAAGCCAAAACTATAAATAGATTTGAAAAAGCAGTCAGAGACATTATGGAAGAAAAGTCCATCAGTGGCTGTTAAGAGCAAAAATAGCAAGTAACTCCTGACACAGGAAGTCTTTAAACTGCAGATTACTGCAAGCTGGGAAAGAACTGGAGAGCAGCATTATTGTTGCTGGCCCTGTTCTTACAGTGCTTTCTTCAGCAGCTGCTGCTGATTGCTCTCAGGGGCAGACCACAATACGAGGTGACCCAGCAGGAATTTAAGAGTTCTGCCATCCCCTCAAAAGCCTGGGGCAGACCTCTCTGCTGGTACTGTCCCCAAACTCCTGAGCTGCAGAGGGAAACAGCTGAAGCTAAGGCAGGTAAAGGTGTGTCAGCTCCAGCTCAGAGCTGCACTGCAGCAGTGGCACCATCCCAGAACTGGAAGTAAACAGTCACCCTGCTTTGAATGGAGGCTGGAAGGACAAAATTCCATTTGTACCCAATTAAGCAGACATAACCTTATCCCTCTCTTCTGCTACAGACCCCATAGCACGCCATACTGTCCCTAGAATGCTCCTTACTAGCAGGAAATGCCCTCCTGTCACCTGCTACAGTTTAACATCGTCATTCTTAAACCTGGGTGACCACAGCTGTGCACAACACACCATAGGATGCCTGCAAGTCTGCAAATGGAATTGTCAGATTCCCACCTCCCCTTCAGTAAGAGAGTGATCCAACCTGGAAACCCTCCTGATTTCCTCTCCAAGTGGCCAGGTTTGGATTGCTGTGTGAGTCCAGGCCAGTCACCACTGCTAGAACAGCAAACAGGGATTGAGGGAGCCAGCAGGGAGCTGAGATTGGCTCAGTGGGTCAGTGTGCTGTTAACAGTGCCCAGGTTGTGGGTTTGATCCCATACTTCTGTGGACCATTCACTTAAGAGCTGGACTCAATGCTCCTTGTGGGTCCCTTCCAACTCAGAATATTCCATGAATCACTCAGAGGGGAGAAAACCCAATTCCAGATTTTTTAAAAAACATGGAAAGTCCCATGGAAAGAGCTCCAACCACTTCAGCAGTGTTTGCTGAAGACCAAAGGGTACACATAAAAAACAATTTCATACTTTCAGTGCTGCATAAATTAAACTTTGCTCTGGCCAATCAGTTAGGAAATAAAGCTCAACCTGTGTGCAGATCACCTGCGCTTCTGCAATTACTTCACAATTAGACAACTGCTGAAAGCAGCTGGAGGCAAATGCAATACATTTTCTAGCAAAACACAAAATGAAACAGTCTGTTTCAATTCAAGAAAATACATAAATGAGGCTGTTAACAGAGCTGTTTGGCAAAGAGTAATCAAATAAAATGAAATATGGTACATTAAGTTTGGCACTTTGTGGCATTTTATTTTTGTCATTAGAACATTGCTAAAGAAATTTCAATATATTCAGTAGCGTTACTATGGCATTCTGGAGTGCTGCAAAAAACCTTTGCTATGTCTTTAGAAACAAAAGCATAATGCTATCATTAAACCTACAGAATCAAAGTTATTTAAAACCAGCATGTCTTAAAAATGTGATTGTCAGAACCAAAGTTTGTCCATCAGCACGTAAACTGCTGACACCAGATTTTGCACAGTTGTCACACAACAGAAAGTGCTATTTTATGGTAATAAAAATGTTAATTAGATCAACACATCAATAGCACAACTTTTTCTAAAGAAAACTATTCCATGCAACAAACCTACTTTAAACAATACAAAAATGCAAGGATTCTCCTGTGGTCACTCCTACCTGAAAAGGGATTCTCGTGACAGCCAGATCTCATTCTGTTTCACGGTCTTCCAAGAGAAGAGCAGCAGCAGCAAAGCAAAGAGGGTTGGAACAGTAATTCTCCATTTATTTAGCCACGTAGACAGCTTTTTTAGACCGTGGACAAAAAGGATGCAGTACCCCATACTGTGGGGGAAAAAAAAAAGGAAAGGCAAAATGTACCTAAAGTTATATTTCAAGTGTCTGGTTTATATGCAAGACCATCCACTATTGCATTTATTATACAATTACAGGGGATTTTTGGACTAATGATATTTTCTGGGCTAACAAACTTCAATTCAACAGCAGTTTTCCTCAAGTCACTACACAATTTCCAAATTAATCTAAATGATAGACCCGGATGCCAAAAGTACAGTCACATACATAATATAACCCAGCATAATGGTAGCTTACACCAGCCACAGAAGGCAGCTGCTTTTCTGAACAGCAAGCTAGGAAAGCACCATGTAATAACAGTAATACTGAGCACTACTGGAGCAGTGTGGAAATGACAGGCATTTTAACAGGGGGAAGTCTCCAAACAATCCCAGTGGTGGCTGCTATTAATTCCAGTTTACAAATTGTGCAGCTGAGGCAGGAGAGCTGCAGTCAATGCTGCTGCAGGAACAGGTGACACAGACCACCAAAAGGGACAAGTGCCTCTCTGGGTCCTGCACTTCTACATCAAGGCCAGTCCAGAAGAGCTGAGATGGGCTGGCAGATCCTCCTTGCTGCCCTGCCATGAACTGACACACAGCCATCTCCAGCCCCCAGCACGTCCAGGGCTCTCCATGAATAACTACTGTGGCATTTTCACAAGCCAAATTTGGACTGAAGTCTTACTCCTGAATAAATTTACATCAATTCAGTAATTATTTACCCTAATTCAAGGGCTATGTTAATTCCTCCAATGATGTCCCTCTGAGCTGGAAATTCAGTGCTTTTGGTTGCTGTGCTTTGTATCACTAATTCTGCTTGTAATTTTTTACAAGGAATTTAAATTTCTTTTGCTCAACAAATTTCATTAGCTTATCTAGAACTCTTCACGTTACTCAGCAGCTGATTTAGTGTTAGACTTAAAACCTATCTTAGTCCAGGCAGCTCTCCCTGATGAAATAAGGGAGCAGAAGGCTCTTGAATAACACTTGGGGATGATCAATAAACAGGGACAAAAGCATAGCCCTTCCCAAACACTGGCACACCTTGAACCCCAGCTGAATCCACATTTAAAGGCAGGCAGATCACTGACAGATCACTGCACCTTCCCACACTCTGGCCAGACCTTTACAGGCTTTCCTGGTCTGTACAGAGATGTTGAAGCAACCTCCAAAGTAAGAAAAACTAGGAACAAAATTCCCCTGTCAGAGGTGACCTTGCAGGCAAGCGTGCAATATGGTGAAAGTCAATGTGGAAATCAGAAAAAGGAAAATGCTCCATATTTAAGGAGCTCTCTGTGTGCTTCTTGGCATGGTTTCTCTGCCCTCCTGGAGAGCTGAACATTGCTATTGCTTAGGCTTCACAAGGATGGAGAAGGACAAGAATTCTTCCTCTCACTCAGGAAAAAACCTGCCTTTGTTGCACAGGATTTGCATCACTGCATTGTCTCTGGAACAGTACAGGTGCCCTACAGAACACTGAGAGAACTACAGACATATGAGGCAAATCCAGAGACAACATCAGATCTGCTGATCATTCAGAACTCCTTCACTGCTGCTTTTGAGCTCTCCCATTCTTCCGAAGTGGTTACCTATATATTTATGTCAATTATGCTTGCATTTTGCTGTAACACATTTCTTGTTGTGCTTATGCTGATTTTCATTAACTCTTGTGCACATATGTATTTATTGCACCTACATTAACTGCAACCAACATTTAGAACCGTAGAAATATTGATGCCAAACAATCTAGCCTTTATAGTTATTGAACCCTACTTTAAAACCTCTGAAAAGCTAACATCAGTAATAATCCCTCCCTTTCCAACAAGAAATGCCTCAAAAGTCTGCAGACGGTTTTCACTCTGCTATTTTTCCTTTCCTCAATTTTATCCCTCCCTTGGAATTAAGTATTTGAAATAAATATTATTTAATTGCTTTAGCACAAGGCCATTTTCAAAGTAATTTCCCTATACCTTCACGTATTCAAGAACAGACCCTTCCTACAGAAACAAAAATGCAAAAGTCAATGTCTTGGTATAAATCCTGTCCCAGCTGTTGGGAATTTCTGCCTTAGCAGCAGTACCCAGTCTGAGGCACAGTCAGCATCACATTACACATCCTCCAGACCTCATGATCTGCTCTAAACAAAACAGAGTGTCCACACCAATGCATTAAAGCACTTGTCCAAAAACCATAATTATATTACTATTGGTTCCTAGTTCCAAAACCACATAATCTGTCATACCTCACTTCACTTGTTTCACCCTAGACCCAACAGTCCCAGCACAGAAATTACCTTTATCACAGTGACCATTTTGAACCAGTGAAGCACCAAACCTGCAAAGATGGAGCTGCTGCAGCAGCAACCTGCCCTGACAGTCACTGCACCTGGAGAGCCCCTCCCACCCCAGGTTCATCCCTCTTCCCTTGATCCCGACCTCACCAGGCTTCAGAGGAGCCCTTTGAAGCTGCTCTGGCTTTCATGCAGCCAGCAGCAGCCCCAGCAGTTGTACCCTGGTGCAAAGGGCCCGCGCAGGTGAGGCTGCACTCCAATGATGAAGGGAACCTGCCAGGTAATGCCTCCTCTGTGGTTAATTCTGCTGTGACCCTGCCACTGCCTACAAACACAGAGAACATTTCCAACAGATTTGCTTTTCTTCTCTGAGTGATGGGGGACTTGACTCCATATCAAATCGGGTTTTACTCACACACAGGAAAAAAATAAAAAGGAAATTTCTCAAAAGGACCTTTCATCCAAGACTTGTTTGCTGCTTGAAAAACTTATCCTTAAGTACTACATTCCACACATCTCTGTAGCTAACTGCACACGTATTTAGGCTGCAGGGTTTTGGGTTTGTTTGGTTTCTTAGTTAACTCTAGCATTTCCTAGGGAGGGAAACATTTCTCCTGAAGAGCTTTTCTCTCAGCCTTGCCACACAAGCACTTTTCTGAAATACTGTGTAGCAAAACCAAAACAATAGGAAACAAGCAAAATCCCCAAACCACTTTCCTAAATCCATGTTCCACTAGATTATTGTAAAACTGCTGGGCTTTATTCCTCTTTTTTTTTTTTCTTTTGGCTTTTGTAGGATAAGCAACAGCCTGCTCCAGCAGTGAGAAGTCTATGCTACCTTGGTCCCTGGGGTCCTGAGATACAGCCCACCAAGTTCACGTGGGCTCACAATGAGCATGCATTACAAGAGAACCTGTAACTTCAGGAATTCCATGAAGCAGCAGAAAAGCTGGGCAAATGGACAAACAGGCCAATGGTTTCATGGTTCCTCACTGTTTCAGACCCCTGCAGTATTGAAGCGGCACTTTGGGCATGCCCTAAATCACAGCAAGGGCTGAGGGCCAGGCAGCCCAGCAGGGAAACCCTCTGTGCCACTGCCAGGCTGCACACAGGGAGCTGGGTAATGACACATTTTTGTCCATCATTTCTGTGCTTTGTGAATATTGTTCCACCTGTGAGGAAGCAAAGTGAAAGGAGGCACAAGCAGATGGGAATGCAGTGGCATATAGACCTTATTTCCCATGGTGCTCTATATGCATTGCCCCATTAAAGCTAGAGCCAAAACAGCACATATTTAATATTTACAAACACATCTTGGCTAATTAGATTGCAAATACAACCTCTCCTTTGGCCATTACAGCTCCTTTCCCAAGGCAAGGCTGTTCCTGAGCATGCTTGCACACAGCTCTGCTCTCTGTGGATCAGGTTTCTCCCTTTTCAGTAAAAGTCAGGAATGGTTTCACTGCATTTGGCTCTTGTGGTGATGGCATTTCATCAAAGCCACATGTGCCACAGCCCTGGATTATCAGGATGCTCAGCTATAGCAATCTGCCTGCAGCAGAAACCATTTTACCTCCTCCAGAAATTGCTTGGAGACCTGCTGCTGCTGTGGAAAACTCCTGAGGAGCAAGGCATGTTCTGGTCATGCTTTCTCTGCTGCATTTTCCAGCTGTGGCTTTGCACAGTGCATGGTCAGAGCAGGCTGAGAACTGAAATTCTGAGAGAACCAGCCTGGACACCAGCAGCTGCAGTTCCAGCCTCTTCTAATTCACCCAGGTAGGGCAGTAAAAAGGAGTTTAAAAAAGGTGGGAGAAACTATGCAGAAAAGATGCTTTCCTCACACTTTTTAATGGTAATTTTGTGGATGTCAAATCTTGTGAGCTAGCTGCTTGGGGTTTTTTAAAAACTGATTTAATCTCAACTACACAAATGTAAACTTGGAGTAAATCCACTGATTTCATCAAAGCAGTTACTCCAGATTTCATAGCTCAGCCTAGATAAGAATCCAGATGCATCCATGCATACATATCAGTTTGGGAAAGAGTTGCCTACAAGCAGCCTGTGGAAGCATGGAAGAAACACTGCCACGTGCAGGGGCTGCTAATGCAACAAAAGGGATTATATCAAAAGTATACTGAGACCAGAAAATGCACTTGGCTTCAACATTTCACCCAGGAGGCTCTTTCTGGGCTGCAAAACTCCTTCTTGATTTCCAGTACTTATTTAAGATGACTCCCTCACCCTCCATAAAAATCAGCCCTCGCTTCCAAGCTGCTCTGAGGCAAGTTTAACCCTTGTGCTCTTGACTAAATGCACGGTGCCCTTCAGAGAGCAGCCAGCACAGAAACACTCTGCCTGCTGCCAGTTCCAAATGCTGAACACAAACACTCGGATTCTCTCACTTTTAGAGCTCCCCACAAGTTTCTAAGCCTTGGCACCACACATACATTACCTGGCACAACACACTTTACATGCTCCTTGTGAAAAATGCCAATCACTTGTTTTTAAAATTTTTAAAAGTTTAATAGTAATAAAATGGTTTAAAAAATAGTAACACAATTAGAGTAATAACAATTTGGACAAATTGAATTGGACAATATGAGACAATAGAGACAAAGACTTATGGATGTCCAGGTACCTTCTTCTGGCCATCCCGAGCCCAAAAAAGGACACACATTAACAAAGGATTAACCCTTAAA